TGAAAAATGGCATAAAAAGCAACATGAATAATTTTATCAGGGTTAGTATGTAATCATTTTAGGCCACCATGTAGTTCTGAACAGCAACAACCAGTATCCAGTCTCAAACAAATATAAATAACACATTTGTCAATCGAGAGCGAGCTATTCACAATTCCTGAATGTGCTCAAACAATTTATATAAGTGAATTAATGGAATATTTTCTTATATCAAGTGAGTAAATAGCATCCTTGTTGGTTTCTCAGAAAAAAAAAATATTGCAAGATGAGGTATGAATTCACAGCTTTCTCATGTCAAACAGTTTATCAGCAGACTAATGAATATACGAGAATAGCCTTAGATAAAAACATCAGCACCGATTTGCCAGTGTAATATAAAGATACAAGAATAGCCTTATTTAAGACAGCTGCCTAAGATAAAAAACATCAGCACCGATTTGCCAGTGTAATATAAAATCACTTTCCAAATTAAAACCCAAATTTGAAGCCGTTGGCTTTAGAGAAGACGCCGGGGTACTGTACAATACACTTTGAGAAACAAATACAAGAATTTCAGACATTCTGCCTTCGTATTTTGGGTGGCATAATGAATTCCTACCATGGAACTGGACGAACAAGTCTTGATTGTTTCCACTGACTTAAGGTGTGATTGAAGATTGCTGTCGAGCTTTACAGGCTAAAAAGGATAAGCTTACCTTTATGTGTTTAAGTCCATAAGCTTACCTTTATGTGTTTAAGTCCAAATAAATCTTCTATTACATGATCACAATAATATGTTTTGAATTTGAGGGCCTTATAAATTGATTATAAATTAAATAGATATACTAATAATATACAATATGCATATAGAAAATGATTTATACTGATTATAAATACAATTGGAACTCCAACTATCTTTGCATCATATTCTTCTAATTTTAAAGAGATATAGTAACCCAGTGTATGAACCTGTTCTGCTACGAGCACTTTAAAGGCAGGGGTCCTTTCACCGGGGTTAATGTCTGTGGTCAACTCAGTCTGGTCTTAGAAGAGGATAAAGAATCCTCCTGAGACTAATCATCATCTTTACACTGTTCACCTTACAGCAGCACCAATGTGAAGTGGAAAACTAGGACACAGTGCGTCATTTGTGACTAAATCAGATTTGAATGATGGGGGAAAAAGACCCAGAGTGCTGTAAAACAAACAAAAAAAGATGATTATTTCATACGTTTTTTTGTTGTTTTTTTTTTTTACATGCAAAACAAATACGACAGAAGTAATATTTTCTTAAAGGCTTAAATGGTACACTATCGGCCTATCTAGTGGTAAGTCTACTGAACAACTGTTGGGTTGTAGCATTGTTTTGGTGAACCAAGCTAGCAATAGCATAGGAAATACTGTTGGTATCTCCCAGAGAGGAAGCCCGTCCTCTTCTCCGCTACGTGTGGCACGAAGGAAGCTAATAAACATTAAGAGACATAGGATAACAATTCCTAATTGAAGTTAAGAAAAAAAAAAACACTCGTCTTTTAGCTAGCCCAAGCAGCCTGTATCTGACTCAGTATCAACATGTATCATCTTGGAAGGTTTGGAGAATTGATTATTAGTGGTGCACTCATTGTTAGTAAGCAGCTCTACAATAGAAAAAGGTCAAACTAATCCATGTGATTGGTATCAGAATCAAAAACCCTGATCGGAACACCTTTAATAATTATGATGGGAAAACCATTGACAAAAACGTGAACCGCAGTGGGTCAAAACCAAATCATTACTTTCCAATCACTTTTATAGACTTGACAGATATTGGTTGAAAATGAAAAAAAACAAACAGCAAGTAGCAGTCTCAAGTTCTTTTGCTCATACCTTGCAGCCGTTGTCTCTTTACAAGCGCAGCAAGATGATTGCGCTCAGGCTGTCGACGGGGTTTCGATGCTAAATGTTATCTGCCGTTAATATTTCTTCCATGCGTTCCAACTTGTGTTGAAAGTTAAGAATTGATTGTCCCAATGTGATGAAAAGAGCGGCATCTCCACGTTTGTCTCTCTGATTTATGTCTTTGGTTTTCATCGTGAACAAGTCATCCTTAAAACAGAGGAGGACAATTCCAGACTCCTCAATTTGGAGCTTGTGATCTTTGAATCCTGTCTTCAGTTGTGTAATATTTTTGGTCAGCAGATCTCCAACAGGTTTATGGGCTCCAAGTTTTACGCTAGCTACCTCATTCGTTTTTAGAATGTTAGCCTCACATTGGCTGTTGCTCAACTTTTCATTTTCCGCCACCTGCGCTTCAGCAATAATTTCCACGTGATCTCGGGTCTTCTTCAAATCGCCCTGATCTTGCAAGTGAAACAAAGCCGACTCTGAGTCTGTCCTCGATTGAGGACTTTTAACGTTTTCCGTGTCCATGTGCGGTTCAGATTGACACGAATCAGAAATGACGGTCTCAGTGTCATTACGATACTCTAATTTTGTCTTGAACTCGTCATTCTTTGTCTCCATCTCGGCACGCCAAAATTCAAGATGAGCCAACTTTTCTTTTAGATGACTGTTCATCTCAGCCATTTTGACCTGTTTTTCTTGAAGTTCCTTCAACTGTGCCCTCAATTCTTCATTCTCTGATTCCATGTTCAGATTTGGGCAGTCACACAAAGTCAAAGTGTGCTTAAAAAGCCTTTTTTGTTCAATATTGGGGTCATTGTTTCGATGAAGAGCTTTCAACGGCGCCCTCGTTCCTTTCCTCCCCGCCCTTAAATCCACCTGATTTTCACTGACCTGCTCCTTGCGTGCCGTCTCTGCAAGGATATTTTCCATCCGCCTGAGCTCCACTCGACTCTGAAGATCATGTATTGTTTGTTTCAAACTGGTAGCGAGAGAGTTGAGCTCATCTATTTCCCCCTTTTGCTTTGCTAACAACTCGTCTTTACTACAGATGACAAACTGAACCTTGTCAAGTTGATGCCGATTGTCGTTGACTGCCGCCTTGAGCTGGGCAATTTGTTCAGACTGTCGGTCACAGAGGGATGAATGTTCTTCTCGAGTTATGTCCTTCTCTTTTTTCAAAAAATTATTTTCCTCCTGAAGTTCACGCACTTTGTTGCCTAAACTTTCATTTTCTGCGCATGCCTTCTCCAGGCGGGATTCGGCATGATCGACCCTGCTCAATAGTTCATCTTGGTCTTGCAATTGACATCTGACCGTCCGCAGTTTTGTTCTCATACAATACATGTCGGCCTGGTCTTTGTCCCGCTGAGTTTCAGCGTGGGTCAAATTAGCCCTTAGGGTCTCAATCATCTCATTCATGATATTCTCATTTTCTTTCAGAACTCTTAGCCGTGCCTGAAGGTTTTCATTTTGTTTCTCGGTCATTTCACCCCACCTCTCGAGCTCAGTCACTTTCATCTTGAGGAACTCGTTCTGTTTAATCAGAATATCTTCATTTTCTTGCAGAAATTTGATGTGCGTACTCAAGTGTGTTTCCATCTTCACACTCCAGGATTCATAATGAACCAATTTTTCACTGAGGAGCTCATTTTGTTGCGTGAATGAGGCGTTGTTTTCTTCGAGGACTTGAACTTGTTTCCTTAACTTTTCATTGTCGGTCTCCACATTCACACTCCAAATTTTAAACAGTCTCATTTTACGGTCATTCACTTCAGTCAGTGTTGCCTTCGTCTGATTGCAATTTTTGACTGTCAGGTCTGCATCTGCCGTCTCGCCCGTGACAGTCCGAGAATTAAGTTGACTCAAGTCTTCATTCAGGTAAAAATTCTGCTGTGTGTCCCGACTATCCTGAAGTAGAGTCCTGAAGTCCTTTTTCTCTCTTTCCATCGTGGCACTCTGGCATTCGAGATAAGCCAGCTTCTCATCGAGGAGTCTTTTTCGCTCAGTCAGTGTGGACTTCTTTTCAAGATCATTGTTATGGTCCATCAGACAGTCATTTGGTAATTGATGCTCTTTTCCGCATGCCATCATCACTTGTCCTGAATTCTTACCCTTATCGGCAATTGAAGAAATTGGGACTGCTTCATGCTCTTGAGAGTTCCGATGTATTCCTTTATATAATCGACATGCAAAGTGGGCTGGTAGCTATCACCTTTATGATACCAGATAAAAGGAATACAGCTGCCGCTGATGGATAAAAGGACTTTGTAGTATTGTGTCATTAAAGCCCTGCAGGGTGTACTTGGTAAATATTGTGCTTATTGAAATGAAACGTTTGACTGCTGCTTGCACCCCATACCTTGTCCAGTTTTGGACAATTAAATTGTACCTAATCTATGCATGTCTAACTACGCATCCATCCATCCATCCATTTTCCGATCCGCTTATCCTCACAAGGGTCGCGGGGGGTGCTGGAGCCTATCCCAGCTGTCTTCGGGCAGTAGGTGGGGGACACCCTGAACCCATTGCCAGTCAATCGCAGGGCACATAGAGATGAACAACCATCCACGCTCACACTCACAGCTAGGGACAATTTAGAGTGTTCAATCAGCCTGACATGCATGTTTTTGGAATGTGGGAGGTAACCGGAGTACCCGGAGAAAACCCACGCAGGCCCGGGGAGAACATGGAAACTCCACAAAGGGAGGCCGGAGCTGGAATTGAACCCGGTACTTCTGTTCTGTGAGGTCGACGCGGTAACCACCGGACCACCGGGCCGCCCTGTCTAACTAAGCATCACACATCCATTCATTTTCTGATCCGTTTATCCTCACATGGGTCGCGGGGTGTGCTTGAGCCTATCGCACCTGTCTTCGGGCAGTAGGTGGGGGACACCCCGAACTGGTTGTCAGCCAATCGCAGGGCACACATCGACAAACAACCATTCGTGCTCACCATCATACCAAGGGACAATTTAGAGGGTTCCATTAACTTGCCACACATGTTTTTGGAATGTCTGAAGAAATCGGAGTACCCGGAGAAAAAACATGCAGGGACAGGAAGAACATGCAAACTCCACACAGTAAGGCCGGAATCAAACCCTACACCGTAAGGCCAACGTGCTAACCAGTCGACCACCGGGCCAATCACTTAACTTATTTGAGCCTGAAAAACATACCAACGTCACTATTCAATCGTATAAAAAACGTTTGAGGAAAAACATGGGCTGATTACAAAATAATTGTTTAATACAAAGCAAGCGGCTTGTTCAAAACATTTTGGTTTCTACTAACAATTTTAAGACAGATTAATAAAAAATGGCTCTCCATAAAAGTCTAGACATTCTTGTCAGGTTATATACAAAAAAAAAATGCATTGACAAGACACTAGTTAGTAAACAAGCTCAACAGTATTGTCATCACATGAACCTAAAACCCAGTGCCCTTTAAAGTGAAACAAGTCACATATGACCCAAGCAGCACTTTCCGAAGACAAGGAATTGTTGTCATACAAAGACCTAGCATTTGTATAATAACACATCAAATATGTTTGAAGAGTCATCATCAATGGAAAGTACGGTTGAAAACAACAGACCTAGACAAAAGAACACAACCGCGACGACAAGTCCTCGAAAGGAACATATGTTAAAAACTTTTAAAAGTGCTTTAAAAGGCCAACAGCAAATAGCAAAAAGTCTGCTCGACGTGGACTTCAGGTGCACCGCGACAGGCTCCACCGCATCTGATTTGTTCGCAGGGTCCTCCTGATTTGCAGTTTGAATGAGTTCAAGCAGCCCTTGAAGATGGCAATTTTTTTGCTTCAAATTCAAAATGAGAGCCTTCATCTCGTCCGTGACTTCATTTAGCTTTTTCAACTCATCGTGTTTACTATCGAGGAGGAATCTGGCCTCCTCGACCTGCAGTTTGTTTTCTTTTAACGCCGCCTTCAACTGGGCAATCTGTTGGTGTTGTTGATCTCGAACGGATTTATGTGCTTCCATCTCGGCGCGAACAATGTCGTGCTGCTTTTTTAAACAGTTGTCCTTTTCTTCAAGCTCCCGCAATTTGCTACTCAACTTTTCCTTCTCGGCCACGTCCTTCTCCATTTGAGATTCGGCGTGATCCATCCTTCCCCGTAGATCACTTTGATCGTGCAGTTGCGACCTGAGCGTCTGAGCTTCTGACCTCAGACGGCTACGCTCGGTTTTGTACAGGGTTAGTATGCAATCATTTTCGGCCACCATGTAGTTCTGAACAGCAACAACCAGTATACAGTCTCAAACAAATACAAATAACGCATTTGTCAATCGAGAGCAAGCTATTCACAATTCCTGAATGTGCACATAAAATTTATATAAGTGAATTAATAGAATATTTTCTTATATCCAGTGAGTAAATAGCATCCTTGTTGGTTTCTCAGAAAAAAAAAATATTGCCAGATGAGGTATGAATTCACAGCTTTCTCATGTCAAACAGTTTATCAGCAGACTAATGAATATACGAGAATAGCCTTAGATAAAAACATCAGCACCGATTTGCCAGTGTAATATAAAATCACTTTCCAAATTAAAACCCAAGTTTGAAGCCGTTGGTTTTAGAGAAGACGCCGGGGTACTGTACAATACACTTTGAGAAACAAATACAAGAATTTCAGACATTCTGCCTTCGTATTTTGGGTGGCATAATGAATTCCTACCATGGAACTGGACGAACAAGTCTTGATTGTTTCCACTGACTTAAGGTGTGATTGAAGATTGCTGTCGAGCTTTACAGGCTAAAAAGGATAAGCTTACCTTTATGTGTTTAAGTCCATAAGCTTACCTTTATGTGTTTAAGTCCAAATAAATCTTCTATTACATGATCACAATAATATGTTTTGAATTTGAGGGCCTTATAAATTGATTATAAATTAAATAGATATACTAATAATATACAATATGCATATAGAAAATGATTTATACTGATTATAAATACAATTGGAACTCCAACTATCTTTGCATCATATTCTTCTAATTTTAAAGAGATATAGTAACCCAGTGTATGAACCTGTTCTGCTACGAGCACTTTAAAGGCAGGGGTCCTTTCACCGGGGTTAATGTCTGTGGTCAACTCAGTCTGGTCTTAGAAGAGGATAAAGAATCCTCCTGAGACTAATCATCATCTTTACACTGTTCACCTTACAGCAGCACCAATGTGAAGTGGAAAACTAGGACACAGTGCGTCATTTGTGACTAAATCAGATTTGAATGATGGGGGAAAAAGACCCAGAGTGCTGTAAAACAAACAAAAAAAGATGATTATTTCATACGTTTTTTTGTTGTTTTTTTTTTTTACATGCAAAACAAATACGACAGAAGTAATATTTTCTTAAAGGCTTAAATGGTACACTATCGGCCTATCTAGTGGTAAGTCTACTGAACAACTGTTGGGTTGTAGCATTGTTTTGGTGAACCAAGCTAGCAATAGCATAGGAAATACTGTTGGTATCTCCCAGAGAGGAAGCCCGTCCTCTTCTCCGCTACGTGTGGCACGAAGGAAGCTAATAAACATTAAGAGACATAGGATAACAATTCCTAATTGAAGTTAAGAAAAAAAAAAACACTCGTCTTTTAGCTAGCCCAAGCAGCCTGTATCTGACTCAGTATCAACATGTATCATCTTGGAAGGTTTGGAGAATTGATTATTAGTGGTGCACTCATTGTTAGTAAGCAGCTCTACAATAGAAAAAGGTCAAACTAATCCATGTGATTGGTATCAGAATCAAAAACCCTGATCGGAACACCTTTAATAATTATGATGGGAAAACCATTGACAAAAACGTGAACCGCAGTGGGTCAAAACCAAATCATTACTTTCCAATCACTTTTATAGACTTGACAGATATTGGTTGAAAATGAAAAAAAACAAACAGCAAGTAGCAGTCTCAAGTTCTTTTGCTCATACCTTGCAGCCGTTGTCTCTTTACAAGCGCAGCAAGATGATTGCGCTCAGGCTGTCGACGGGGTTTCGATGCTAAATGTTATCTGCCGTTAATATTTCTTCCATGCGTTCCAACTTGTGTTGAAAGTTAAGAATTGATTGTCCCAATGTGATGAAAAGAGCGGCATCTCCACGTTTGTCTCTCTGATTTATGTCTTTGGTTTTCATCGTGAACAAGTCATCCTTAAAACAGAGGAGGACAATTCCAGACTCCTCAATTTGGAGCTTGTGATCTTTGAATCCTGTCTTCAGTTGTGTAATATTTTTGGTCAGCAGATCTCCAACAGGTTTATGGGCTCCAAGTTTTACGCTAGCTACCTCATTCGTTTTTAGAATGTTAGCCTCACATTGGCTGTTGCTCAACTTTTCATTTTCCGCCACCTGCGCTTCAGCAATAATTTCCACGTGATCTCGGGTCTTCTTCAAATCGCCCTGATCTTGCAAGTGAAACAAAGCCGACTCTGAGTCTGTCCTCGATTGAGGACTTTTAACGTTTTCCGTGTCCATGTGCGGTTCAGATTGACACGAATCAGAAATGACGGTCTCAGTGTCATTACGATACTCTAATTTTGTCTTGAACTCGTCATTCTTTGTCTCCATCTCGGCACGCCAAAATTCAAGATGAGCCAACTTTTCTTTTAGATGACTGTTCATCTCAGCCATTTTGACCTGTTTTTCTTGAAGTTCCTTCAACTGTGCCCTCAATTCTTCATTCTCTGATTCCATGTTCAGATTTGGGCAGTCACACAAAGTCAAAGTGTGCTTAAAAAGCCTTTTTTGTTCAATATTGGGGTCATTGTTTCGATGAAGAGCTTTCAACGGCGCCCTCGTTCCTTTCCTCCCCGCCCTTAAATCCACCTGATTTTCACTGACCTGCTCCTTGCGTGCCGTCTCTGCAAGGATATTTTCCATCCGCCTGAGCTCCACTCGACTCTGAAGATCATGTATTGTTTGTTTCAAACTGGTAGCGAGAGAGTTGAGCTCATCTATTTCCCCCTTTTGCTTTGCTAACAACTCGTCTTTACTACAGATGACAAACTGAACCTTGTCAAGTTGATGCCGATTGTCGTTGACTGCCGCCTTGAGCTGGGCAATTTGTTCAGACTGTCGGTCACAGAGGGATGAATGTTCTTCTCGAGTTATGTCCTTCTCTTTTTTCAAAAAATTATTTTCCTCCTGAAGTTCACGCACTTTGTTGCCTAAACTTTCATTTTCTGCGCATGCCTTCTCCAGGCGGGATTCGGCATGATCGACCCTGCTCAATAGTTCATCTTGGTCTTGCAATTGACATCTGACCGTCCGCAGTTTTGTTCTCATACAATACATGTCGGCCTGGTCTTTGTCCCGCTGAGTTTCAGCGTGGGTCAAATTAGCCCTTAGGGTCTCAATCATCTCATTCATGATATTCTCATTTTCTTTCAGAACTCTTAGCCGTGCCTGAAGGTTTTCATTTTGTTTCTCGGTCATTTCACCCCACCTCTCGAGCTCAGTCACTTTCATCTTGAGGAACTCGTTCTGTTTAATCAGAATATCTTCATTTTCTTGCAGAAATTTGATGTGCGTACTCAAGTGTGTTTCCATCTTCACACTCCAGGATTCATAATGAACCAATTTTTCACTGAGGAGCTCATTTTGTTGCGTGAATGAGGCGTTGTTTTCTTCGAGGACTTGAACTTGTTTCCTTAACTTTTCATTGTCGGTCTCCACATTCACACTCCAAATTTTAAACAGTCTCATTTTACGGTCATTCACTTCAGTCAGTGTTGCCTTCGTCTGATTGCAATTTTTGACTGTCAGGTCTGCATCTGCCGTCTCGCCCGTGACAGTCCGAGAATTAAGTTGACTCAAGTCTTCATTCAGGTAAAAATTCTGCTGTGTGTCCCGACTATCCTGAAGTAGAGTCCTGAAGTCCTTTTTCTCTCTTTCCATCGTGGCACTCTGGCATTCGAGATAAGCCAGCTTCTCATCGAGGAGTCTTTTTCGCTCAGTCAGTGTGGACTTCTTTTCAAGATCATTGTTATGGTCCATCAGACAGTCATTTGGTAATTGATGCTCTTTTCCGCATGCCATCATCACTTGTCCTGAATTCTTACCCTTATCGGCAATTGAAGAAATTGGGACTGCTTCATGCTCTTGAGAGTTCCGATGTATTCCTTTATATAATCGACATGCAAAGTGGGCTGGTAGCTATCACCTTTATGATACCAGATAAAAGGAATACAGCTGCCGCTGATGGATAAAAGGACTTTGTAGTATTGTGTCATTAAAGCCCTGCAGGGTGTACTTGGTAAATATTGTGCTTATTGAAATGAAACGTTTGACTGCTGCTTGCACCCCATACCTTGTCCAGTTTTGGACAATTAAATTGTACCTAATCTATGCATGTCTAACTACGCATCCATCCATCCATCCATTTTCCGATCCGCTTATCCTCACAAGGGTCGCGGGGGGTGCTGGAGCCTATCCCAGCTGTCTTCGGGCAGTAGGTGGGGGACACCCTGAACCCATTGCCAGTCAATCGCAGGGCACATAGAGATGAACAACCATCCACGCTCACACTCACAGCTAGGGACAATTTAGAGTGTTCAATCAGCCTGACATGCATGTTTTTGGAATGTGGGAGGTAACCGGAGTACCCGGAGAAAACCCACGCAGGCCCGGGGAGAACATGGAAACTCCACAAAGGGAGGCCGGAGCTGGAATTGAACCCGGTACTTCTGTTCTGTGAGGTCGACGCGGTAACCACCGGACCACCGGGCCGCCCTGTCTAACTAAGCATCACACATCCATTCATTTTCTGATCCGTTTATCCTCACATGGGTCGCGGGGTGTGCTTGAGCCTATCGCACCTGTCTTCGGGCAGTAGGTGGGGGACACCCCGAACTGGTTGTCAGCCAATCGCAGGGCACACATCGACAAACAACCATTCGTGCTCACCATCATACCAAGGGACAATTTAGAGGGTTCCATTAACTTGCCACACATGTTTTTGGAATGTCTGAAGAAATCGGAGTACCCGGAGAAAAAACATGCAGGGACAGGAAGAACATGCAAACTCCACACAGTAAGGCCGGAATCAAACCCTACACCGTAAGGCCAACGTGCTAACCAGTCGACCACCGGGCCAATCACTTAACTTATTTGAGCCTGAAAAACATACCAACGTCACTATTCAATCGTATAAAAAACGTTTGAGGAAAAACATGGGCTGATTACAAAATAATTGTTTAATACAAAGCAAGCGGCTTGTTCAAAACATTTTGGTTTCTACTAACAATTTTAAGACAGATTAATAAAAAATGGCTCTCCATAAAAGTCTAGACATTCTTGTCAGGTTATATACAAAAAAAAAATGCATTGACAAGACACTAGTTAGTAAACAAGCTCAACAGTATTGTCATCACATGAACCTAAAACCCAGTGCCCTTTAAAGTGAAACAAGTCACATATGACCCAAGCAGCACTTTCCGAAGACAAGGAATTGTTGTCATACAAAGACCTAGCATTTGTATAATAACACATCAAATATGTTTGAAGAGTCATCATCAATGGAAAGTACGGTTGAAAACAACAGACCTAGACAAAAGAACACAACCGCGACGACAAGTCCTCGAAAGGAACATATGTTAAAAACTTTTAAAAGTGCTTTAAAAGGCCAACAGCAAATAGCAAAAAGTCTGCTCGACGTGGACTTCAGGTGCACCGCGACAGGCTCCACCGCATCTGATTTGTTCGCAGGGTCCTCCTGATTTGCAGTTTGAATGAGTTCAAGCAGCCCTTGAAGATGGCAATTTTTTTGCTTCAAATTCAAAATGAGAGCCTTCATCTCGTCCGTGACTTCATTTAGCTTTTTCAACTCATCGTGTTTACTATCGAGGAGGAATCTGGCCTCCTCGACCTGCAGTTTGTTTTCTTTTAACGCCGCCTTCAACTGGGCAATCTGTTGGTGTTGTTGATCTCGAACGGATTTATGTGCTTCCATCTCGGCGCGAACAATGTCGTGCTGCTTTTTTAAACAGTTGTCCTTTTCTTCAAGCTCCCGCAATTTGCTACTCAACTTTTCCTTCTCGGCCACGTCCTTCTCCATTTGAGATTCGGCGTGATCCATCCTTCCCCGTAGATCACTTTGATCGTGCAGTTGCGACCTGAGCGTCTGAGCTTCTGACCTCAGACGGCTACGCTCGGTTTTGTACTGGTCCAGCTCACCCATGAGGGTCTCCGTCCTCTGTTTGATTAGTTTCTCGTTTTCTTTGAGATCTTCAACTTGCACTCTTAAATCTCCGTTCTCTGTTTCGAGATCAGCCAGCCTTTCATTGAGCAGGTTGTTCTGCTCGGCGAGCCCGTCCTGGTTTTGGCAAAGCGCTTGGTCTTGCGCCCCCACATCTCCATTTGCGCCCCAGGATTCGAGATGAGCCAGCTTTTCATTGAGGTGCCTGATCAGCTCAGTCAGTTCGAATTCGTTTTCTTCAAGAGCTTTTATTTGCGTCCTCAGTTCTTCATTTTCTGTTTCCATCTTCAGACTTGGAGAGTCACGCAAAGCCAAGGTGTGCGTTAAAAACCTTTTCGGCTCAGTCAAGCAATTGTCCTTTATTTGCATGCCCGCGTCCTTTATCTCAGTCTTCAAACCCGATTGGTTTTCACTGACTGGCCCGTGCTCAGGTGCTATCTCGGCGAGGCTTCCGTAAATATTATGAGTTAATATTTCGTCCATCTGCCTGAGTTCCAGCTGGCCTTTAAGAAAATGCATTTGTTGTTTAAAACTGCTCACGTGGGAGTTGAGCTCCTCTGTGACTTCATTGAGATAAACAATTTTCCTGTTTTGCTTTGCTAACTCGTCATCTTTACTGTAGAGTAAAAATTGAGCCTCCTCCAGTTGGAGTTTATGCTCCTGTAACGTCGCCTTCAGCTGAGCAATTTGCTCACACTGGTGTTCCTGAACACATTTGCTCTTTTCCAACTCAACCCGAACAGCGTCATTTTGCTTTTTGACAAAGTTACTCTCGTCCCAGAGCTCACCGAGCTTGACGCTCAGCTTTTCCTTCTCCGCCCACTCCTTCTCCATGAGAGATTCGGCATCATCGATCCTCCTTAATAGTTCCTCTTGATCTTGTAATTGACTCCTGAGCGTTTGCAGTTCTCTTCTCAGACGGTGAATCTCAGTCTGATCGTTTTCCCTTTGAAATTTAAAGTGGGACACGTCGGCCATGAGCGTCTCTATCTTCTCACTGAGGCTGTTCTCATTTTCCTTCAGAGTCTTGACTCGGGTCCGCAGGTTTTCGTTTTGTTTATCTGTCCTCACGTTGCAGCTTTCGAGCTGAGACACCTCATCTTTGAGCGCTTCGTTCTGCTTGATCAAAATGTCCTCGTTTTCCTGAAATCCTTTCACTTGTGCCCTCAAGTCGCCAGTCTGCGTCTCCATCTTTGCTCTCTGAGACTGAAGCAGAGCCACCTGATCATTTAGGGACTTCACTTTATCCTGTAGTTGACTGGTGCTTTCTTTAAGGGCTTTAACTTGTCCCTTCAATTCACAATTCTGCGTTTCCATGTTTGCACTCTGAGATTGAGCTCGAGCTAACCCGTCTTTCACGGATCTAATCTCATCGTTGAGACAGTTCTTGTTTTCCTGGAGTGCTTTCACCTGTGCCCTTAGGGCTTCTTTCTCACCTTCCTTCGTTCCACTGTTAGTTCCGTCATCCCCTTGCAAGCTTTCCGTCACCAACCCGCTGGACTGAATCGGAGTTTTCTTTCTCTCTTGATGCCATTGAAGTTGCGACCTCAAGTCACTGTTCTCCATCTCCAGCGTTTTCATTTTCATACTCTGTAATTGAAGCTCAGCCAAAGCATTTTTAAAGGAAGCATTCTGTCGAATCAGCGTGTCCTCACTTTCCGCAGGATTTTTAGCTTGTGTTTTTTGGTTTGCAATCTGATCTTTGAGGACCTTAATGTGTTCATCCTGATCGGTAATAGCTCTCATTTGTCCCGTTAGGTCTTGCTTGTTTGTGTCCAAATTGAAATTTTGACATCCAAAATGTGCCCACTCCTGAGTGGCAAGGTTATTCGTCCCGGTAAGTGTCACCTTATCTCCAACTTGCATTCGTAAGCCTTTATTTTCTTCCTCAAGTTGAGCAATATGTGTCCTCATGTTTTCATCGCGTGTTTCCATCTCCATACACCGACATTCAAGCAGAGTCATCTCAAATTTAGCTTTCCCCGATTCCAGGTTCTCCGTGCGAGGTCCATACTGTACCATGTTAAAATTGAAGATCTTACTCTGCTCACTGAGAATTTCTTCTTTTTGTTGAAGATTAACAAACCCCAAGTCTTCTTTTGCTGTCTCCCTCATGAAACTCAAATATTGAAGACGACCCCGCGCTTGGGCCAGCATGTCTTTTTTTTCGGTTTCCGCCTTGATATTCTCAGAGTCCAGATGAGCCAACTCTTCGTTGACGAGCCTTCTTTGCTCAAGCAACATGGTCTTTTTATTTTCCAGATCTTTAACATGTTCTCTGTAATAGTCATTGCTTAACAGTTGCCCGTTTATCCAGGACATCCTTCAATCCTTATTTACAAAGTGGAGATTTGGGACGATCCTCTCATGCTTTGGGTGGCTCCTAACTGGTGTCTTTGCAGGTAAAATGGAAAACATCCCAACTGATAAGCGGTATGGAAAATGGCTGGCTGGATCCTTAGCAGGTTATCAAAATGCCATGATTTAACATGTTGGCTTAATTTACTCAAAATACAAGTTTCTTTTGACTTTTTGCGTATCATGTTTTGTTGAGTTGTCAAGATAAGAAAAATAAATAACAGTGTATGCAGAATAGCAATTTTCAGCTTTATGACATACTATGACACAGAAGGCGACTGTTGACGGGATACAACGGGTAGTTTTGAGATGTGGCTAAAATTAGTACATCAAAATAACATTACCGGCTTGTGATAATAGAGATGAAGTCATAAGCTTTATTGCAAAGGTGACACGTCGCTGACAGCGACCTAAAGTCATGACATCATCAAAGTTCCTTGAGGTAGGCAGAGAACTCCCCGCTTGGCTTCTTGGGACTAAAATAAGAGCTTGCAAAAAAATAAAATAAAATAGGATCCTTAAACCTTGCAGTAAGGCAAATTCCAATCACAGCTGTTAATTTTTGTTTTTTTTCATCCATTTATTCATCCTCTGATCCGCTTATCCTTCGTAGGGTCATGGGCATGCTGGAACCTATTATAGTTGTCTTTTGGTGAGAAGCAGCGTACACCCTGAACTTAAATTTCTATATTTTGACATTCCAAAGCAGGTATTTCATTGCTCATTATACTGCTGCTGGTTCCACAAATATTTGTCATTTGAAGTTACAATTATTATGAAATGGCAGCATTTTTGTAGTCTATGTCACTTAAGCTGTAGTGGTACTTTCGCCGGACTTCAACCGCAGGCAGCATGGTTTCATTTCCCACTCAGTGACGTTGTCAATGTCAGTCTGAATGGTTACTTGTTTCCATATGTGCCCTGCGGTACACCTGGCAACCAGTTCAGGATGTAGTCTGCCGTTCGCCTGAAGTCAACTGGGATGGGCTCCAGCACCGCATGTCCCTGAACAGGAAAGGTGGTGAAGAAAATGGACGGATGGATGGACAATGGGGTGACTATATTTTGGGGTGGTTGTTCTGCCCACGTAGACGCCATCTTGAGCATTGAATTGTATGTTGATTCAGCCGCCATATTGGTTGTGAAAAAGTGGTGTGAATGGTGAAGATGTGCCTTTCATCACCTGCTTGGAGATGTACCAACACTATAGACTGTTCCATTAACCTCCCATGCATGGTTTTGGAACGTGGGAGAAAACCAGAGTACCCAGAGAAAACCCACACAGGCAGGGAGAGAATTTGCAAACTCCACACAGGAAGGCCGGAGTCAGAATTGAACCCTGCACCTCAGCACTGTGAGGCAGACGTGCTAACCAGTCATCCATCGTGCCGACCTTCCAGCATCTTTTTGCTGATAAATCCATTTTCCCTCCACTGCATATGTCAAAACCACATCAGCTGGCCTTAGCTACTTTGTTTTCAAACCTTCTCGTTTGTGCTCATGAGCCGTGTCTCCTGTGTTCTGGTCATTGCTACCATACAACATGGCTGGTCTTACTACTTCTGCAGTGATTGCCATAAATACTAATTACATTGATATTAATCACATAACAATGATTCATGAAAATCATCCATTCATCCATTATCCAAACCGCTAATCCTCACGAGCCTTGCAGGCGTGCTGGAGACTATCCCAGATGATGTGTTTTCTAGCCAATTGCGGGGCACACACAATCCATTCACGCTCACAATCACACCAAAGAACAATTTAGACTTAGAGCGATCATATATCCTACCGTGCATGTTTTTGGAATGTGACAAGAAACCAGTGTACCGACCCAGCCACGGAGAGGAGATGCAAAACTGCACACAGGAAGACTTAAAATTTTTCTTCCTAGGGGGGATTAAAAAAAAAAATTGAGACGCACCGGTAAAATGTGCCACATCCACAATGGCGGACAGACTGACGTATTCCAACAACGCCCCGAGTGTCTATGAAGTGATGTTTTTGCAGTTTGTAGCTATGGCAGTGAGTTTATCCTAATTTTTTTCAAAGAAGTCTCACAGAGTTAGAGGAAGTCGCTTCGTCCCGGAGCTCGATCTTAAAAAAAAGTTGAAGCAGCCTTAAAACAAGTCGCGTCGGCTGCACTGCCAAGCGAAAATGTTCGGCTAGCTTGCGAGCAGTGAGTCTGACAATGAAGCAGTGGAGCTGACAATTAAAATCCGAGATCTCGGTAATAGGTGTGTAATTAAAGACAGATTCGTGCTGGAATGTCGGTGCAAAGAGCCGAGCAGGTTGGGCCTCACCTGTTGAGAATGTAACTTGAGCACGGGAGGCGGAGTTAATGCCATTTGTTTCCACCACTTTCCTCCCAAGTTTGCACTAATTCGCCTGAGTGTGCCGTAGTTGTCCTACGACGGAATCGCGAAGCATCTTGTGAAAATGTGTGACTTGTGATCCTCACACATAGTAAAGACATTGCTCAAGATGAAGAGGGGAACCTTGGCCTTTTTGGGTCGGAAGGACCAGTCTCTCTTCGACACCAGCATCAAAATGAGGGAAATGGGTGAGTAGATTGCGAGCAGAGCAGGTGCACTGGAGGAAGAAGCATCTAAAGTATTTTCCTCGGAAGGATATGCGACCTTTATACTTCGTATGTGACACCCACCAGATGAATCTCGGCAATGAACACGGCATTCATGCACGTAGACTTCTTTTCCCGCAATCTATGGGTGTTTAAACTTCCAAATTGTATTCAACAGAGGGAGCAAAAGTATGGACTTAAAAAGAAGTACAGTAAACGTCAAATAAATGTAAAAAGAGAGTCCCGATTTAACTCCTGTGCTTTATTCACATTAAAAAATTAGACACTACAACGTCTTTAAATGCAAATAATCTTACTGTCAATTATAAGGACTAATCAGAACACGTTAAATTATGTTGCTGTTTATTTTAAACCAAGGGCTAGCGTTGGCTTCACTTTTACGCTATCAAAACACGCACATTCACATGCTAACTGTGTAACAAATCCTAACACCTGAAAAAAAATACATCTTGGATGTCTTTCTTCAGATTAGATTGAAATTTTAAACACCAGAAGCTGGTGTTTTTTAGAAAACGCATTTGTCAATTTTTTTCACCCTAATCTGATTCATTTTGGGAAATATACACCATCAACACTGAGAAGAAAACAACAAAAGCATTAATACAATAATATAACATGTAATATAATATCTACGAATAATGAAAAATAATACAACAATACCATAATAAATATACATTAAATGAATACAAAGCAATAAAGCTGGTTGTATTAATACATTTGTCATAAGTATGTTCCCTACATGACTTCGATATTGTCCAGCAAATGAACCGAAAACAACAGTTCAAAGTTTTAAATGTAGGGAGTGGAAGTAAAAAGATTGGGAAAATAAATAATACAGCAAATATCTGAAAAATCAAATTAAGGACAGTGAAGAAATACTGTATTTGTATTTTATTTTTTATTTTACATCCTACCACTAATTTAATATCCATTTTCTAATCCACTTATCCTCACAAGGTTCGCGGGCGTGCTGGAGCCTATACCTGCTGGCTTCGGGCAGTAGGCGAGGTACACCCTGAACTGGTTGCCAGCCAATAGCAGGGCACACGTAGACATACAACCATTCACACTCACACCTAGGAACAATTTAGAGTGTTCCATTAACCTGCCATGCATGTTTTTGGAATGTGGGAGGAAACCGGAGTACCCGGAGAAAACCCACGCAGGCACAGCGAGAACATGCAAACTCTACACAGGAAGGCCGCAGCCGGAATTGAACCATGCACCTCTGCACTGTGAGGCTGACTACCCGTCGACCACTATGCCGCCTAACTTTTATTATATGCTAGGAATTCGGACCTTATTTTTGGTCAGGCAACTGACCAAAGTTTCTTACTTACAATACCCAGGAACACTCCAGTGGAGTGTCAGGGGTGGGATTTAAACTGCTGACCCTTCGTACGCTGGATGACCCACTCTACCATCTGAGCCACAGCCATGCTACCTTATTTGTTCTGATATTATGAGACCAACAAATTCCAGCACATTGTGTGGCTAAAACAGCAAAGCTAAAAATGGTCCACTAAAAGGTCAGAATGCCGATCTGATTCAGTAACACATGACCTACAACAACAGCAACACCTAATACGCCCAAGTGCGTCACATAAATCCCCCAAATTATATGACCTGAGATGGAATAAAAAGTAATTGTACTGATAGCTAGGTAGCTAGCTAGCTTCCAAGCTAGCTATCAGTAATTGTAGTGATAGCTAGGTAGCTAGCTAGCTTCCAAGCTAGCTATCAGTACAATTACTAGCAAAGCTAGCTAGCTAGCTAGCTAGATAGATGGATAGATAGACTCTGACCTATTCAAACAACAAATATTTCCAGCCCTCTAATGCGGCTATGGTGACATACAGCATTGTCTAGTAATCATTTACTGTATTATTGCAGCTTGCCTTCTCAAACAGGAAATATCAATCAATCCATGTTTATGTTACAGGAAAACAAATAATCCCAGATGAAGCTGCCCTTATTTCCTTATATTAGTTCAATGATTTGTTGTGTTCCTGCTTTTAACTTCTGCATAGTGATCTTCAGTTCTCACCACGTAAAAATGCTAGATGAGTAAAAACATTTGAATCAGGAAGGTGTGTTTTACAAGCCCTTCGTTGAAACATTACGGCGCGGTCATTCCGTGGTGATTCCCACGTTAGTTCAGTTTTACATTTTCATGTTTTCTATGATGATATTTTGTCACGTGTTGAAATTAAAGATTCTTACTTACAATACCCAGGAACACTCCAGTGGAGTGTCAGGGGTGGGATTTAAACTGCTGACCCTTCGTACGCTGGATGACCCACTCTACCATCTGAGCCACAGCCATGCTACCTTATTTGTTCTGATATTATGAGACCAACAAATTCCAGCACATTGTGTGGCTAAAACAGCAAAGCTAAAAATGGTCCACTAAAAGGTCAGAATGCCGATCTGATTCAGTAACACATGACCTACAACAACAGCAACACCTAATACGCCCAAGTGCGTCACATAAATCCCCCAAATTATATGACCTGAGATGGAATAAAAAGTAATTGTACTGATAGCTAGGTAGCTAGCTAGCTTCCAAGCTAGCTATCAGTAATTGTAGTGATAGCTAGGTAGCTAGCTAGCTTCCAAGCTAGCTATCAGTACAATTACTAGCAAAGCTAGCTAGCTAGCTAGCTAGATAGATGGATAGATAGACTCTGACCTATTCAAACAACAAATATTTCCAGCCCTCTAATGCGGCTATGGTGACATACAGCATTGTCTAGTAATCATTTACTGTATTATTGCAGCTTGCCTTCTCAAACAGGAAATATCAATCAATCCATGTTTATGTTACAGGAAAACAAATAATCCCAGATGAAGCTGCCCTTATTTCCTTATATTAGTTCAATGATTTGTTGTGTTCCTGCTTTTAACTTCTGCATAGTGATCTTCAGTTCTCACCACGTAAAAATGCTAGATGAGTAAAAACATTTGAATCAGGAAGGTGTGTTTTACAAGCCCTTCGTTGAAACATTACGGCGCGGTCATTCCGTGGTGATTCCCACGTTAGTTCAGTTTTACATTTTCATGTTTTCTATGATGATATTTTGTCACGTGTTGAAATTAAAGACACTGCCTGGTACAGGTATGTGTGTGTGTGTGTGTGTGTGTCTGTTTGTGTGTCTGTCTGTCTCTTAAAACAGCATTGTCTTTGGGTGCTATGTGTCTCGTCTCACCTGGCCTCACGAGGAAAGTGTAAAGTCAAATGTTTGACATAACAACGAGGCTAAGTGCTTTTGTGCGACATCTCTTCACTTCTCGTCTCTTTCTCGTTTGACAAATAGTCTAAAAAAACATCGGAAGAACGTCACAACGCTGAGGTGACTTATCTCCTCCCATCACAACTATTTTATGGCTCCTTCCCGGTTTCGCAACATGATTTATTTTGTTTGTTTTTATGCCAAGTTCCTCACCAGTTTAACATGATTCTTGTTCGTGACATCCTGTATGCTTCTAAAACTTGCTATATTTCAAACAACCCATCCTAAAAGCATTTCTTGACTTGATGCATTTTTCACAACCTATAAAAATATACATAACTCTAAACACAATCTGCTATGGATGTAAGTTGACATTCCATTTGTTAGTATTGCCCAAGGGATGTTCCCCTCGGGAATAATTGAAAAATGATGTGTAATTATTCCATGATGATAGGATCAAAATGGGACCATTGATATGTATGGGCATTTTAACTGTATGGGCATTTTAAGTCGACATGATTATCAAAATTGGTAAGAATGCTATGGAATTGATTGCTGACTAATCACAGACCATGCAATGCAGTTCTGTCATTGCCAACTCCACTCACAACATACATTTTGTTAAATTAATATTGTCTTGCCAACATGTCAAATAATGTCAGTCTTAACTAAGATTTGCCCTTCTTGCCCAGATAATGTGGATCTCGTGCTGAACTCGCCAACGTCTTCAGAGTCGGGTATTGCCAGCGTGCGCGCTAGACCCACTGTCAAGCATTACACTGTGAGTATGTCACTCAGCCTGCCTTGTTCATACTGTACTGATTGTTTTTGTTTCATGCAACACTTGCTTTTCTGGAATCTGGAAAGTCTGTTACATAATAAACTGCGCAGATGCCTTTATTTACAGTCGTGATGTTCAATACCACCGATTTCTGATACCAAACTGTGCAAATAAATACACGACGTGTCCAGTGAATCGAGATAGCGTATTTCAAATCATCAGTCATCAGAGTAATATTCATTTATTCATTATAAACTCGGAAGTATGTTGAGGTCAAATACATGCTGGTTTATAATATTGTGTCTAATTTAAAATAAGTAAATAAAAATCCATTTTTAAAAATTCATGAAACAAATATATGCCACAATAATGAAATACGTCATTCATTACCCACATTTTAAAATATTCATATAAGGGTTAAAAAGACCCGATCACTGCATTGTACTTCTTGTTCCACAAGATTCCCTCAGCTCTCATAAAAAAAAAAAAACAACAAAAAAAAAAAAACTCATAAAAAGTTCTGGAAGTCTGTCGGCAACTGCATTCTTCAGTCTCTTTATTGTGCAAAACATTTTTTTTTAAATGAGCAGTCTATATGGCTGTTTTACACAAACAAATGCCTCATAATTCATAATACATGACTAAACACTCCGGTTCACACACCCTGATGCATGGGTGTGGTGAGTGTTTGCATCTGAGGCATGTTGGATATGGCGCACCCAGCAGCACATGGGCAGGAAGCCCTTATGCGTCATGAAAAATTAGAGCGCAGCAAAGAGAACAAAACGGCTGAAATCGAAAAGGAACTCTGGCCAACCTTAACAACACACCCTTGTACCTGCAGTCTTCACGTCTTGCGCTATTTTAATTTTTTTTTTTTTTTTTTTTAATCAATGGCCGCTTTTATATCCAATGTCACGTGTTGTATTTCCTCCAAAGACATGGCAAAGTTTGCTTCAGCAGTGGACAGAACCTTAAAGGTCAGACGCAATCCGTTTCTGGCTGGTTGCTGGTCATCCTTTATTTTCTTCCTATTTTGGAACACTTTTCCCCCCAAAAATAAACAATGACAATTGAAATAACTCAGTCCAGATCCAAACTACCGTATACAGACTGCAAATGACATAACGTTCTAATATTTCTGTCATTCCATTGCAGAGACTGCACTGTGTCGCTCACAACTGCTCTCTTGCACTAACTTCTTCATCATAAATTATCTTCTTGCCATCACTGGTACCTTTCTGTGTACTGGTTCCCATTTCTTTTAGTTTTTTTGCGCACTCAGTGACAACATGGTAACCCGCCCTGGATTTTGTATTGCGGCAAACAGTTTTTGTTTTATGATTGTGATTAGTGGCGTCTGAGCTTTGATCAGAGCAGCAAATCGTTGCCCCTCGAGCACAAACAATCATGTTTCTAAGTGACAGCGAGCCGGTTGGCCTTACATGGTTAGCACTGAGCAATTTGGTGAGCAATAAAAGGCGGAGCCTCTTTCTGTGATTCACCGTGTTTTGCACGCGAGTGAAAGCATGCGAGGTGTGTGCAAGTTTTCACTCGAAGACAATGCTCAATGGAAAATATGACAGAAACAGAAGCTTAAAGGAGGCTGGAACTGAGACCTCGTGATGCATTTCATATGCAATTACTTCACGACCACCATCCCCACACATTAAAAGAAAATTGTTAAAATACCATAGTAAGGAATAAATGTATGTAAATGTACCGACTGAAAATATGAGCTGTCACAGCGGGTCAAACATCACAAGAAACATGAAGAATATACTGTACTGTATATCCGAATAGACCAATTCACACGTTTGACAGAATCACAGAAAAACATCAATTATCATCAGGATTTGAAAAATAATTTGACTCACCATTGACATTTTTGACGGGCGTTTTGTCAACTATAAATTCAGAACATTTTGTCCGAGATTTGTAACGCATGTGCTTGGTCTGTCAGGAAATTTCAAAGCCTTAGTTAAAACTCGGACATGCTTTCTATATCATCCGTCATGGTGCATGTCTGGTAGTGAAGTGAATAATATGACGCGAATGTCGTGAAACACAGAAAACAGTGGTCCCGTTACCACTTAAAATGCACGATCAAGACCCTTAATTGCATTAAAGTAATACGGTGAAAAATGCAATATTTTTACACGGTTATCATACCGTCAGAATCTCCCTACTGGCCCATCCCTAATACCGACAATAGAAGGGAATTGAACAATCATCTCGCAAGCACTGGACATGCTAAACTTTTTCAAGAACACTCAACTCTTAATTATTTCCAGATTCACCAGATTAGCATTGCTAAGGCTGATATTTGCTTTCCCTTCCCCCCAACATAGTCATCCGAGAGTTTTCAAGGGTTTGCTGTTCCAACACCGAGAGTACCGGTCCTCCCCACTATCAGTGGTCCAAAGATCAACGGTGCAGGTGAGTGCTTTTTGCTTAAGGACCTTACACATGCGCTCTGTACCAGTTCGTATTACACCTCAGGATTTGACCTTTCCTACCGTTGTTTGTGATTCACTGATACAATCGGTTTGTTTCTATAAAGTGCTGCAGTGCGAGTATATGTGGTGCTAGTCTGAATGTGCCACCAACCACATGGCAAGTTTGTTGACAGAATGGGAGTGCCCTTGGACTCGAGTGAATGTCTTTCCTCTTATTTCACATTCCGAAACATTTCTGAATTTACAATCCGCTTTGCTTTGCAATGGTGTAGAACTCCTATCTGATCGTGTCTTGAAAGACACGGCTGTCTTCTAATCAAGCAATCTGAAGAAAGTGGAAACACAGAATTCGTTTTCGTGCTCAGTGTTGTTGGTCTATGTCAGGATTGTCAGAACTTAGAAGAAGCAAAATTCTAGAGCTTTAAAATTTTTAAAGCGCTGCTTTTCTGTCTGTCATTCTGTCTTTTCTTTCATAGTGAATGGAGACCGGTTGTCTTATGGCTTAGAGGAAGAAATATTGGTTCCCCCTCCTCCCTCTATGGCCCCTCCCCCGCCACCAGAGACATTTATCCTCCCTCCACCAGACTTCATGGGTTACCTCAGCAGTTTAGAGATGGCTGCCCTTCAGCCTCCCCCTACAGTTGCTCCAAAGCCACCCCTCAAGGAAGATAAAAATCGCCGTATCACAAAATCCCAACCAATGACCCCACCGAAGCCTCCGTCAACAGGTTCCAATAGCTCTGCATCTTCTACCCCCATTTCAAAACCGTCCCCAGCTAAAGTTCCCAAACATCCAAATTTTGCCCCACCGCCTCCCCCTGGTAAAGAGCAGCAGAAGACCCACAAGACTCCTCCTCCGAAACCTATTCGACTCTCATCTATGGCCAACCTCGACTCCCCACCGCAGATTCCTGCCCCACCTCCCCCTGTGCAGACTCCTACACAGTCAACCTTCAATCCCCAAAACACAGCGAAGCTTAACAATGTTTCCAACACCTCGATCCTTAAGGGCTATGTGGAACAAGATTCCAGACCCAAGCAGATGTTACTCCTGGAAGATACTGGGTCCGCTTCGCCAGTACAAATGTTGGTCCCCGTCAATGGGAATATCCCCAAGCAGACGCCAACCAAGCCAATTCGCAAAGATCCACTTCATCACAAAGACAATTTACAAACCACACCAACCAAGCCAATTCGCAAAGATCCACTGCACCATAAAGAGAATTTACAAACCGCACATCTCTCACCGACCAAGCCAATTCGCAAAGATCCGCTGCATCACAGAGAGAATTTTCAAAGTACACACCTCTCTCAGGCACCTCTACACGAGCCACCCAAATCAATTCCCTCTGATGGTTTTTATCACAAAGAGAATATCCAAAGTATTCTGCCCTCACGCTTACCCTTGCCTGAGGCGAACACAAAGGCTGATCCAGTAACAATGTCAGTCCAGAATGAAACTGTCAAACCACTCAGAGTGTCATACCAAATACCAAGAAAGCTTCAGACAGGGAACAAAACTCTACTGACTTCTGAGGATATCCAAGGGAAACCTGGTCCAAAACCCGCCGGTAAATTGGGTCCATTAGTCGGTCATAAATTACACAACAGTGGCGAAAGCAATGCGGCTCAAGAGGCTCCTGCAGCTTCTCCATTTTCTCTCCTCATGGCGGCTAAGGAAAGGGATAAGAATAAGGGCTTTCAGTCTCATGAAATTGGGAACATGAACAATGACCAGCGGAGAGAAAGCTTTCAGAAAATTAATTCTACTACTCCCCAAACTTTGCCGCCAATGTCAAGAGCCCTCTCAAGCTCTTCTCTCCTTCATCAGGAACACGTACAACCAAGTCCAACACCCGTCAGTCCCGTGCAGTATTGGGAAACAAAATCAGCAACCATTGCACGGATGAGTGACGGACCAACATACCGTTTGACAGAACCGCCTTCATCTACAGACATGAGCAACCGACTCGTGCAGAGGAATGATTCCTACATTAAATCTGGAGGGAACAAGGAACACTTAAGTATGCTTTTACTCCCTCCACCTCCAGAATTCGAGGATTGCCATAGCGTTATGGAGTCCCCTATTTCCGCTTGTCCTCCAAACACCTTCTCAAGAATGGCACCACAAACAAGTCTAAACTGTATTCTACTTGGTCAGATTCCACCTTCAGTGGTACCCAAAACCTCAAAACACCAATCTCTGAATGCCGCCATCCAACCGAAGCCGCAATTCCAGACTACTTCTATGGTAAATCCCGCACAGCCGCCAACGCCTCTGTCGCCAAGCCAGTCTACGCTTGTGAGCATCTTACAAAGAAAGATGCTGGAGATGGACCATAAAATGACCGCCACGAATGAGGCAGACCATAACGCCGAAGACTGGAGTGTCCCACTCTCTGAGGACGTCAGAGTCCCTGTCATCCCAAAGTCCACGTCGCAGGCCAAAAGTGTTTCTATCGTGACCAACCAAACGCCAACCCACCACAAGCAGGATGGCAAAGCGGTGAGAAAATTTCCGGACGTTAACAGGTAAGACCTTGTGTTGTTACCACTTGGATCACATTTGGATCGATATCCCAGTCTAATTATCACTGTGTTGTCGATTCCAGCAATGAACTGCAGTCAAGCCATCAATATGGAATGACGTATCGAATTCGGCCCGGATCCAAACAACCCATTACGCTTATTAGAAAAGGGCCATCATGAGTAAACGGGTTTGGTCTTCCTTTGTTATGTATACGGTCAATTTTGCCCACGAACTGCAAGGGTAGTTTCGTTTCAAGCCACTGTTCAATCAAACCTCTGCTTTAATAAATTCACATTTGTTATCAGATGTTGTTAGAAGCAAAACAAACAAAGTGATTGTGTCGCACTAAATGCTATCAGAAGTGAAGTTATTAAATCAGAAGGCACTGATCAACGAATATTAGCACAGATGCTAGTGCTAACAAGTTGGTCCAGGCTAGTCGTATAGCTTTTCCAGGGATGCCATGACAATGACCCTATTCTAATTTTTACAGGATTTCAAAGCTAGTTTACAATCAAGTTCTCAGTATTTGGCACGTTGTTGGTCAAGATTGGTAGCATAAACTCGATTTATGGAATAAAAAGTCAAGTCAATAAAAATTTAGCAGAGAATAGACAAACAGAAACAGAAATAAAGCTGTGACTGTTTAGCTTAGTGACATGCAGCAGTTGACAGCTTGGCATACTTTTATCTAAAACAGCACTGGCTTGACCCAAAATTAGTCTCAAGGCTGGCTAGCATGGTGGGAGTCTGCAAAAATCGATATTTCTGTCATTGCTATGTTGACTATAATCACACGGTACCAATCAACCAATATCCATTGTATATTTTGTAAATGTGTTACTTAAGAGTAGTTATGTGCTACAGGGTCAGAATGTAACAGGTTTTCTAATGTTGCTAAGCATTAGAGATCAACTATCAACAATGTGTTCAGGACAAACACAAACGTATGGGCTGGAGCGAGAGCTGCTCAAGGGTGATTTGTGAAAGTCATAACTCCCGAATTTTCCTTGACAAATGTTCAGGCTTCTTGCCTTGATTCGCTATGAATGTGACTTTGTTCCTCCCACCGGTCTTGTTGCAGCCAAACGACATGCAGTAAATTCACAATTTGTTTTTTACATCAGCCATCAGATTTATGTTGATTGTTCATGGCAAATTTTGTCAGAAATCTTGAATGTAAATTTGAATTGCTTGCAATTATGTTCAATTGCTTGAAGTGAAATTAAGCACATCACATACAGTACACCCAAACTGTAATCTTCATTCACTGTTAAAGTATGTCATGTAGGGTCTTTCCAATCAGATTGCAATGTGCAGATGTTTGCTTTGTATTATCTCTTATTGTTATCAATGAAGGATGTTTTATTTTTATAGTATGCAGTAAAAGCTCAAATGTACTAGTACTGACATGCAGCAATATTATATTTGTACATATATTTATATATGTTAAGAGTATGATTGAAGTAGTCATCACCTAAGCAAATTTGATTGACATATCTCACCAATCTGAATCTGGTTAATAAATTCAAATTGATCAGAAATCTTCAAAAGTCTCAAATTTTGTGTGTGCGTCAAATGGTAGCTCGGTTTATTATTTCATGTTTCTACTTACCTACAATCACTTCAGGGTAGGTCAAAAGGTGAGGAACAAGCAGCACCCTCTCCACACATTGGTTCATATTCATAACGGAGGCACTCTTGAGTGGAGTGACACTGAAAACCTTTTATTTTTACATCATTTATTTTCCAAACATAAGAAATAACTTCGAAGGATAATTGAATTCCAAGTTCACTAAAGTTCTACATAGGCATGAGCTTCGAAGTGTATTTGGGTCTAAGACGAGTTGGGGGTGCCCCCTGTTGGCTCCACCGTGTGGTGAAGCACAAGGTGATCCCAGCCAACGGTGGTGAGGTTGTTGGACCCTCCGGGAAGCCAGCACACCCCCTTGATGAAGTCTTGGTGGCGTCTATCTCTAAATCTAAAAAAAAAAAAAAAAAAGTGAAACAGAAAAATTATAAGTTTAACACGGTATATTATAATCTCAGAAAAGTGGATCTGTGCCAACACTCACGTTTCCTGCAGTTCCGAGTTTAAAACAACTAGGGAGCAATCGTCGCTAATGGAGGCCAGCAAAGATGCGCTGCAATGAAAAAAAAAAAAGTCTGTTAAATACTCATAATTAAAATATGAAAAGAAGCAAAGTTGAGAGACAAAAATAATTCGGTGTACCTGTGTGTAGAAAAGGCCAGCCCATTCACTCTGCGGCTGTGGACGCTCGCCACACGAGCTGGCTCTGTCGTTAGGAAATCCTTGACGGTCACTCTGCCGAGCTCGTCGCCTGAGGCACAAGGAATGTGACTTGGGTGTGGGAAAACACATGATTACAAAATTCAGTCTTGTTAAAGAAGCTGGGCTTGATACCAAAAGCAATGGTGCTTCTGTGCTCAGGGTGCCAGGAGACAGTGGTGGGCAAGCAGTGGGAAGCCTCTAAATCTAATGGGGGGAGGAAATACAGATAGAGTATACTGTCATAGAAATTTAAGACCATTGTCACCTGGGGAAAAAAAATGAGTAAGAAAATTACAACCAAATTTGTTCATATATACGGCAAAACCCCATTCACTGCAGGGGAGGCATTCTAATCCTTAGGTGATAACCGTATAATTGAAAAAGAAAAAAGTTTGACCTCTATCACATGCTTTAAACTCATTTAAACTTAATCAAGGAGACTTTTGAAAGACATTGTAAACATGTGAACACAAAAATGCTTTACAGCATCAGTGCATTAGATATGTGCCTTAAAGAGGCGGTGCTTGGAGGAGAGCCATGTGACGCCAGTGAACTGGTTGGAGGTTGGCTCAAGCTCATGAGCTGTGGCCGACAGCATACCCGACATGTCGGTTCATTGCGTTCTTGTTTACAATTTCCCCAGCATTCAATAAATGTCAACTCCGACTCTTCATTCCCAGGAGCGTTAAAAGTTTCTGTAGTATAGCAAGGGAACACTGCATTTCTAACATCAAATGTGCAACAAACTAGCGAGCGTTCCTTACCTATTCTTGTGGCTGGTTTATCTGGTTTCCGTGTGTCCCACATGAGCACACGGCCATCCTAAGAGATGAGATAAGACAAACCTTAAAGGGAATAGTTCTACGTTCCTCTTTATGCTTTCGCTGTACATTTTTTAAACACAATTTGACTCAGAATTGATAAACAGCATCTTACCTGACCACAGGAGATGAAAAGCGAATCATCCGTAGGACTGCAGGCAACGCAAGTTACCGGTTGTGTGTGCGCTGGAGGATGGACACGGGAAACAACATTCATTTTGCAAGTCGTAAACAACAATACACTTAATGGACTTTTTTTTTTTTCATGACGGTTAGTATTTTTGGGCGATTGAGACAAAAAAAAAGTAAATGGCTTTTTTTGGTTTTTAAATGTAGAAATAAAAGAGTCACAATGAAACTATGTTCCTCAGCTGTCAATCAAATGACTCAACAACTACAACCTGGAAACGTGGATGCTACTTTGTCGAGCAAGTCTTCACACAAATGCATGTTTGAGCTATGAAAATATATCCACTTAAAGATTCCGGCTGCTGGAATACATTCCACTGGCTCCGTCCATATGCTAGCTGCCGAATTTAAAACTAACAACATTTATAAACTACACAGCGCATTTTGACTTAATAGAGTCGAACTGCAGTGTATTCAGCTGTAAAAGAACACAATGTTGTTGTCCTTACCATTGTATGACGTGACAACCATCTCCTGACTCAGGTCCCACACTTTAATTCTGCAACCAAACGACAACAAACATTCTTGTAAGAAAAAAAAAATCCTGCACTGCGAATCCGTTCAACACCTTCTTACCTGCAATCCATGCTCCCAGTGATGGCACTGTTTGCTGCAGCTACGGGGCTCACAGTGGTGACGATATGATCATGCTCGTGCCTGGTGAAACGGTTGACCAGGAGGCGCTCATCCTCAGCAAGTTCCCACAGCTCCAAGGCACCTGTCACAGTCAACCCATCACAGATTAGCTCATAATTCTCAAACAAAAGCATCATAGTTAACAAAATCTGTTCTTACCTGAATCTGATGCCACAACAACACCCTTTTCTGAAATCCACTTGACGTCCGTTACTCCAGTCTCGGTTTGCACGCCAGCTTTGCAGAAGCCCTCGTTGGGGGCCTGCTCAGGGTTGTTGTAGATCCACACTGAGCCCTGCCAACTCCTGCCAGTGAGGCTGGAAGACCCGAGCAACAAGGTGCCATCTGAGAGAGAGAAGATGATGGGAGAAAATCTTTGCAGTTACATAAATCCTTTTCATACCAATTAAGTGAAATTTTCTGCCTTCATGCCACACTAATGTGCCACAGTACAGTGGTTAGGCAATTCAAAGTCTGCGGTGGTTGCTGTATAAGGACAGTCGAGCTGGCTTACAGAGCAGAGCATAGCTTTCACCCTCACTTAGTGCAAGGTTATGGATCTGGGTTCTGTGTTTATATAAAATGCATACAACAGAAACAAGGATGGGGATGGATTTTCATTCGGTTATTGTTTAAATGCTGAATGCCACATTTGTGAATGGCAGAACGCATTGTAGCAATATAGTGGTGACAAAGCCTCCGACCATTTCTCTGCTGTACTGGCATGTAAGATCAGAAACATTTTTAAGTTACATTGCTCTTTATACATGTGGTGAGCACAAGAAAACAAATTTGCGTGAACTCGTTCACCTTGCCTTTGGTCACCTACCTGCTCTGTACTGCGCTGCACAGAGATGCTTCTCCATGCATGCTGGCGCATTAGGGGGTATATTCCAAGGATTATCCTTTATCATCGTAGTTTCCAGTCCTGCACTTTTTATCCAAACAATCACAGATGATGTTTGCACCAGTTTGAGATTACCCTCAACAACCAATACGAGTACACAATGCGGGCGATCACTAAAAATTGATGAACTTCGTCGCAAGTAACATTTCTAGGACAGAGCATACAGAAAACAGGATACTAAAAGAAAGGATGTTCATCCATAAATACTATGCAAAAAAAAATCAGTGGTTGCTTCTTCTATGAGTGAAAGTAGAACCAACACGCGGTGGCTTCTTCTTCGGTGATTCCACTTCCTGTTTTCTTTTGGTGGGAGCTTTTGAAATACTGCCATCTTCAGGGCAAATACGGTATGTCATTCAGCTAATGTTAGACGCCAACGACTTTAACCGTTACGAAAAGAACCCTGTTTTGGCTACATGTTTATTTCTCTTCCAATGTATGAATCAACAGAATATTCCTGCTTGTTATACGGCTTTATATTTTTGTGTGCAAAACGAGTGACAGCCGAATTTAACCATCTAAAAAAACTGTACAGTATATGATGTTTTTTTTCCCCTGTAAAGTTCACTTTATTTAACAGGAAATGAGTCGCGTGGTAGTTCTCTTGCTGTAGGATATGTGTCAGAAAGGTTCCAGGAGTGGTGTCACAAAAGACATATTTCAAAGCCAAATTTAAAACTCCCATGTTATCCTCTTTAATGTGGGCCAGATGATCAACCAGCACGTCTACAAAGAGATGTGGCATTTGCTTCACTCAGTACGAGACAAGAGGCAAGTGTTGTGGCAAGATGACACAGTTGCTTCCCATTGACAATACGCCTGCTCACAAAGCTCCGAGCATCTGACAGCTCCTGGCCGAGAAGAACATCGCCATGATGGACGAACCACCATACTCACCTGACCTGGCTCTGTGTGTGCTTTTTTCCCCCTCAAAATGCTCAAGGAAAAACATTTTAAAGATGTGATTGACATCAAGATAAATGACGGAAGTGCCGTGGATGATACAAGAATCCTCCCTGGAGTGCATGAAGACAGTGAGGTTTGGGAAAGTGCTTTACACTCCAGAAGGATTATTTCATCGGGAAAAAAGTTATAGTTTGCTTTAATCTCTATCTATTTTGTGACAACGGTCCACGCTTGCTTGAACGATTGATTGATTGATTGATTGATTGATTGATTGATTGATTGATTGATTGATTGATTGATTGATCGGTTGGTTGGTTGTGATCTTGGGGACTAACGGGTGGAAATTAAACATGATCAAAAATGATGATGTTGTCGCCTACAGGTATAATTAGTGGTGTGTGTTGTCTTGTGCTCGCCTAAAAACCACCAGCTTGTGGCATTTTTTTCCCCTTATTTTTCATTGTTTTGTTTTGCACATGCAGGACATGAAACGCTGTGCCCAGTATTTTTTTCCCCATTCTCAGTATGAGCATTTGATTATATATAATCATTATATAAGGTTTTAAAAAAAGAGGACAATTATTTTGTGTACAGAGGAATTCGTTACTTTTTTTTTTTTTAGCAAACCTAGCAAAACGGCTTCTGTATATAAATTGAGATTAAAAATTCATTTTTACCTTTGAGTTTTGTACTTAGGGCTTTTTAAAACCTCGACTTATTTAGAGGAGTTGAATGGATTTATTATTATTATTTAACACACATACCTGCGCTTCTTAAGTACAGAATGTTTGTATAAGTACA